GACTAACTAATTCTGAATTTCTGATTTCTTCAGGTATGTGATTCAGAAGGTGTTCAATTGGCAAGAGACTCCGAGGAGATTTCAAGTGTAGACGACTTCTTTACCAGGTATTTTCTTTCCGAACTTGTTAGTAGTTTAGTTGATTCAATTCTTAAAATCTTGTTTGTTCAGGTTTGTTGTTCAGGTATATTCTTCATATTCTCATGGAAGCCAAAGAGATTTCACATCGTAGCGAGACTCTGTGATCAGGTATAAGCTTTCCTGGACTTTAATGTATTACATACGAGAATCACACACTAATTTAAGTTAGGTGATATAGTTAGAATTCATGATCAAAGCGTCATTATAGTTATAAATATTTCTTAAATATCTCTCTTGATAACACTACTAGCATTGATCTAGTTTCTCTCAGATTCTAAAAACTTATTGCTCATATATCCATTTTTAAAAAAGCTATATTTTACTTTTGGTATTAAACATTACGTTGTGTGTTTATAGTGTGAGCAGTCTCTATCTTGATTTTAGAAAAATACATTGTTATTTCTCTGTTTTGGAGCTTGTATTTATAACAAGGTCTCTAGTTTTATGGGGTATATGCATCTTGGTGTCTGGTAAAGATATTGTTTTTGAATGCATGTAAGACCCATGTATATTATGGTAGTAGAATGTTTTGCATTACGCCATTAATCTTTGGTGATTAAATCCTTGCAATTCTAACATCTCTTAAGACTGATTATTGATCGACAAGAAAAAAACCGTTTATTGTTGAGTGTTTAGTTAAAATGGACAATTTCAATTTCCATGTTAGTTAAGTTGGTGTGTTAGAGATCTATCTGGTAAACACATTTATTCCTTTTAGGCTGATTGTCTAATTGTTTGTTCTTTGTGGTGAAATTATCTTTAATGTCTCTCAATGTCTATGATTGTTACATTCATTGATAATCTTTTTAAACATGTGACATGACATCCTTGCAATTATGGAATCATGAATCATACGTTGTTGATGATTATTGTGCTAGGTTATATATAAATACTTCCGTTGACTTACGTTTTTTGCAGTTAAAATGGTTATTGCTTGGTCTTTTAGTCATACTCTTGCATAGTTGATGAATTTCGAATTTCGAATCATGATTCTTGATTTCCCTTATGTTTTTGTTGTTTTATTAACACTTTTCTGTGATTGATGTCAACATCAATAGAATTCCAGTAATCTGATTATCTCTGCTTCAGGTCAATATTCTGTGAACTTTAATCTATTACACTTGGATGTTTTGGCAAAATCTTGCTTGCTGTTTGATACTAGGGAAAGTAGCGCTTTGATATTGAACATTTTAAATTGTTCTCTTTGCATTTTGATGTTAGTTTTGTTGACTAACATATTAGCTTTCTATCAGACTAGATGGTGAACACACTTTTCTCGTTTATTGTTTGGTTGTCGATAGAAGTATAGAACCAATAGTGATCTTGGCTTTCGTATTACGAAAGAACATAACTGTGACAAATTGAAGCAATGACTTGATTGCTAAAACGCAATTGCTGCTTTGCGTTTTTGTTTCTTGATACTGGTAAATAGAAGTTTGAAAAGATAATCACTTTTGAATCCTTCTAAACCATCACACTGTTGACGAACTAACATAGGGTTCAAATATTTCAAACATGATTTCTGCATTGCATTTGGATTTGTGTGAAAAAGAATTTTAATTTTTAAATGTAAATAATATTTTGAGTTTTTCAAACTAATTCTTTGAAGGTAAAAAATATATTTTAATTCTTAGAGCATCTTCATTGGTGTATCTCACAAATATAATTAGGAGTATTTTTAAGTTTGTTTTTTCTTGACAACCTTAAACAAGGTTCAATACAATAATATGGTTTTTATATATTTAATTTAAAAACTTTATCTTATTCTGATCTTTATTTATTAATTTTTTCATAATCTTTCAAAATATCAAAAAAATTTATTAAATGTACTTAATTATCTTAGTTAGGATATATATATATATATACAAAATAAAAATAAATTCTTTAATTTACTTCCCTTTTAGTAACTTGATTAAACATATATTTTATTATATAGAGTAACTTAAATATTAAAACCCAACTTTTTCTGATATTTAATGTTATTGTATTAAGTTAAATAAAATTATTTTTAATATTAATTTATTAATTATATTTAGAAACTAGTTTTATTTTATAATTTATAAAAAGATTAAAATAATAAATAACAATATATAAACTCTTTAATTAACGTTCTAACCTATTGAGTATTTGATTTGATACAAAATATTTGAACTAATAATAAAATGATATGTTTCCTAATTGAGGGCTTTTCAAGATATCTCATTTGAGAATAGGTTCTCATCAATTCTCTCAATTTTCTTTTTCTTTATTTTTTTAGATTTTTGTGTTGAGATAACCATTGAGATGCTCTTATTGAATTTTAACTTTAGTAAAACAATTGAACCAACAAGAATTTAACACATTGACATGGTTCTCAAGAGTATCTCAAATGAGAATCCTTCTCATTTTTCTCTCATACATTTTTTGTGTATAATATATTTGAGTTTAGATACACGTTGATATAAGCTAGTAGAGTGAATTTCAAACCAGTATAAGCGGATCACATATTTCCCAACTTAGTCCAACTTCGACTAAGTTATCCCGATCATAGTGTTTCTTGACAATGTCATTTTCTGATCTTGGTCCTCATAATGTTGTGATTGACAATATCGTATCTCTGTATTGGTTATCGCGGTGAATGTACTGTATTTGACATGATCATCAAACTTTTGGCTCTGAAAATAATTATTATCAAAAGCTTGGTTGGCAAAATCTGATGTATTTTGATTTGGTAGTTGGTCTCCATTTTACTGTATTTGAAAAATCTGACATCTCTTTTCCAATCTCTAGAGTTCATCTTCCTTGCTTTCGGATATGACTTTGACGAGATCTTAAACACTTAGCTAATAAGATCTTATCACTCACGAAGTTGCACACAGACATGCTACATGATTATGGTTGTACCAAACGAGCGACCAATAAACTTAGAAGTTTGATCTCTTTGTTATTCAAGCTCAAATTATTCAGAAGACTTCTTATATCAGTTTTGAACCATTCTTAACATAAAAATCAAATTCCAATAAAATGATTATTTATCTTTTTGTTTCTATAGAAAACAGGAAAAGACAAAATAAGTTAACTATGTGGTTATGCAATCTAAATCGGTTAACTAGCTATGGTTAATATTATTTGCTAAGAATATTTAATGTTTAAGTTCCAGTTCACGGTATGTTCTTATCCCTCTCTAAATCCTTGTCCACAAAGGATATTTGCCTATTTCTTCTTCTTATAAAGAAATTTGTGTAACAAAATTCTTATATATTTTTTAATCTCTTCGACAAACCTCTATTAGAATTCTACGTGCTTTTGCCATGTCTCAACCAAACCACAGAGACACAAAGATATATGTGGCAGGTTTGGCTTGGGTTACAACAACCGAAGGTCTCAGAAGCTACTTCGAACAATTTGGAGAAATTGACGATGCTAATGTTGTTTGTGATAGCAAAACAGGACGATCAAGGGGCTTTGGTTTTGTAAGTATCTAACAATATGTAACGTGTAGAGTAATTATTGATATAAGTCATAAGTTTGAGTTAATATTCTCAGGTCACGTTTAGAGAAGCTGAATCTGCTACGAGAGCTTGCGAGAATCCAAATCCAATCATAGACGAACGAGAGGCCAGTTGCAAACTTGCTTATCTTGGTGCTAGGGTTCACAATAACCAATCAAACCAAAACGGTTTAGTCTCAGTTTTCCTTAATTGTATTTGATTATTCACACTGATACTATTTGGTTATAATCTTATATTTGTTCTTGTAACCGCAGATCAACCGCTAGCCATTCATGTAGAACCCTACTGGTATTTTCGTATACTTCATCTGTCAAAATTGTTCTTTTTAATTTATTTTTTTACGATCGTATAATTTCCAGAAATAACTCTCTTGACATGAAATAACTCTTTTTTTTTTTGTTTCCATATTCAGGAACGAGTATTATTCTCAGTACTACCGATATTACCCTTGGTTTAGCGCCTATCCGTATTAAACGCAATATCAAACTGAGATACAGTCATACAGAGAGATTGTTATTCTGTTAAATTCTAATAGTCAATTTGGTTAGTTTGTCTGACTTTATATTAGCAAAAATTAATTGTTATGAATTATTAATGTATACTTTTTATATCATTGCTTCTTCTCCTCTGTTTCAACAGAAACAGAATATCGTTTATCCTCTCCTTTTTCATAGATTCTATCTTATTTAACTTTGATAAACTATTTGTTTAGTTGTTTATAAGAGTTTCCGCCAAAAAAAAAAAAAAACAAAATTAATATTGAATCTATTCTTGCAAGAACATATCCTTTAAATTGTAATATTCTTGGATACTCGAGCATTTATGAATCCATATGGATCTCTTGCTCTGCTTCCTCGTATCTGTTGAAAAACATAGAAACTCCAGGAGAAAAAGGGGCTTTACTTGATTCTTCCCAAAAGTAGAGTAAAGATAAATATTAAGAAAAAAAGTAAATGTATTTCAAGAAAACACACAATATATGGACCCAACAATCTCAAATCTTTATGCGTAGAGCTCGAAAAAGATTCAAGCACCATGGATAATTTAAGGAAAAGTGGGGAAAATAATCAGGTGAATTGCTTGGCCAATAGGGCAAAAACATTGCTCCTGCTAGTTTCCTCTTCCTCGCCTTTTATAATCATTTCACTTTTCCTCTGCTTTTAACTAAGGATATGCTCTGTTTTTGTTAGTCTACATCGGCGAAGAGTACAGCGATATAATTCTATATTAACAGTTAATATAGCTTTACAAGAAGTACTAATCACCAACACAAAGACATCATCAAAAATACAGAGTTTGAGAGAAAGAACAATTACAAAAAGTGAAAGAAACTATAGTGTGTATATATTGTTGATTATTCTACAAATCTCATATGGCTGTAGAGCAACGAGTCCCTTGTAGTGAAGCTAATGGAGCAGTGGTCATGTTTGGTGCAAAAGCTACGATTGCAAGACAATCCACATTAAACCGGTACGCGCCAGAGACAAATGTCCCGATCTTCCACCGTAGCTTCCCGTCCATCTTCATGCCGATGATTACTTTACCGGCTGACCGGTCACGACTGACTTGGTAACCAAAAGACTGAACAACCGGTAGCTCAGTCCCTTGAAGAGACGCCGTCAAGAGGTTGATTTCTTCGTGGGACTGATAAAAAGGCGGTAGAGAAGCCTCTGATGTGATTTGTTGTCCTCTATAGGCTGCGTATACGAGTAGCTTGTCGTAGTAGATTCCTACTTTTTTGTTAGGGTTTTTGGAGAAGAGAGTGAGTTGGATTGAGGAGTTGAGGAGATGGGTGGCGGAGGAGGAGACGTTGAGGGTGTAGATATTGGCTTCTGTGAGGGAGAATTCGGGTTTCGCCGGGTGGAGGATGAGCCAGATGAGGAAGATGATGAGGAGAAGGCCGCTGAAGAAAGTTGAGAATGTGAAGAAGAGTTTCTTGCGACTATTGTTGATGCTAATCCCTCCTTTCTTGGCGCAATGTTTTGGAGAAGTTTCGGAGATTTTAGACATTTGGGGAGAGAGAGAGAGAGAGGTGATGATGATGGTGGAGAAGAAGAAGAAGAAGAAGAAGGATGAAGAGAGAAGGAGAGAGGGTGAAGGGGTTAATAAAGACAGAAGTGTTGGAAGTAGAAAGCTATAAGCACTTAACCTTCAATTATCTTTGTGTCTTTAGTAATGCTTTTTTGACTTTGATGTTGCTTGTGAAGGTGTGAAAATATTGGCCGTTGGATTAGCATGCAGATAGATGGACTTTTGTTTTCTTGTCGTCTTTTTCTTTTTTAATATATTTGCGTGAACGTTTTAGTTACTTATCTTATTATACATGCTTGATTAGTTAAGGGAAGCACTCAATTTAATTAATCAATAAAGTTAATACATTGCGAGACTTTAACATGTCTAAACATTTGTCTTCTTCTTGTCACACTCTTTTTTTCATTGATTTCAAAATATTAGGGTTTTTTTTTTTTTTTTTCATCATTAGATATATGCAGATGGTAAGTTTGGTGAGTTCATGCAAAGTTATAAGACAAAATATCATGAGAAGAAACCGATATTGATAAAAGAACAAATATAAGACTAAACCGAGACTAATATGGCGTAAAAATATGGCGTAAAAATTAAACAAAAGTAATTATAAATAGTAGAACAAAACAATTTTTTCTTTCAAGAAGCTATGTGTCTCTTTCAAATTTCCATTACTGTAAACAACAAAAAGTTAAAATAATAAGAACTTTTCTATAAAATATTCTTAGGGTGAATGACTTACATAGTTGAATGTGAGTGATTTGGACCAAACATAGGGGAAAAGTCCAATATTACTTACATAACCTTGAAATGTAAGTATTGCCCATATTACCCTTATTTCCTTTGAAAACAAAAAACGTATTTACAGTTTTGCCATTAATGAAAAAGGGTTGAAAAATGTTATTTTTGTTGTTGGAAAAAAAGACCACATGGAAAAATCTATCATTCACTTGGTGATAGACTTAATGAACTTTTGATAGATTTTTGAGTTGTGTGATAGATTTTTGAGTTGGGTGATAGATTTATTTTTTATTGATAGACTTTTCGAAATAATGACCTGGTAGACTTTTGTGTTAGCGATAGATTTTTGTTTGATGTTGTGGTAGATTTTTGTTTGGACGGTAGATTTTTTGATTGAGTGATAAACTTTTCATGTAGAATTTGTATTTTCTGGTAGACTTATTACCAATGATGGTAGACATTTTTGCGTTTGATAGACTTTTCATGTAGTTGCGATAGAGTTTTGCTGTATGATGTAGTGGTAGACTTTACATAGTTGTGGTAGACTTTAGTTATGTGACGATAGATTTAGATTTTTGTGATAAAGTGATATGAATTGGAGGTTCTTGGTGGTAGATTTTTAGGCAAAATGGTTAAATATACCTCTCTTTACTACACTAACCTCGAAGACGCGGTAGATTTATGGAAAGGTTCTCGATTTAACGGTAGATTTATTATAACATAACGGGACATTTTCTGGGTTTTCTCATTAAATTTTTCATAGATCCCGTTCGAGTATTGGTGTCGAATTCGCAATTAATTCGCCATCTACTGGCATTTACTCCCTATAGTGCAGCATTAATTCGCCATTTACTATCGCATTTCCCCAATTGCAAATCGAGAACTTCGTCTACGACGGCCACGACGTCTGCGCCTCCGTCGTCGTAATCGATCTGGTTAAATCGCGATGGAGCAACTAATTCTGGTATGTGGGAAATGGAGTTTCTATCGGAATAGTTGGTTCTTCTTAGTAGACAAATCTAAGGGAGGCAGAGTAGTTGGTGCTGGTCGGAAAACCTCTTTCATGCAGTTAATGAGAATGGTGTGCGAGGAATTCGGTTTGGATCTGAATAAGGAGGAGGTTCAGTTGAGTTATTTGCTGCCGAAGAAGGTTCTGGATAGTTTGCCCGCCGACACACCTCCTGTTTTCATATGCAACTCCACACAATTTTTGGCGTATCTGCAGCAAATTAAGACGGAAACGACCCGTCTATGCGTTGAGATTCAAACAAAATCAACGGAGGGTAAACCGATGGAGGAAGATTCGAGTGACGGGTCTCAACAATCCAGTCCTGGCGCAGAAGAAATTTGGCCCGAAAACAGAAATGATGATGGAGAGGACACAAGCAGATTCGACTACTGCGACGATCCTGATGGTGCTAGCTCGGATGACGAAGAATACGGTACTACGAAAGGGAGGTTTGCAAAGGAAGAAGACGACGGCGATGGTATGAATGGGAGTGGAAACCAGATTCCTGAGTTTCGAGGATGTGGCTCTGTTGACTTAGTGGTTGGTGAGCGCTTCAATACGAAGACGGAATTGGAGTTGAGATTGAAGATGCTTACGGTAGCACTAAAATTTGACTACAATGTTGGGAATTCAACCCCGACGCTATTGACAGCTAAATGCTGGGTAGAAGGATGCAGTTGGAGAGTGCGGGCCACAACTGTGGGGCAATCTCCTGCTTTTTATATCAAGACATACGTCCAACATCATTCATGTTCGATTACGGAGCGATCAGCCCGTGCACGTCAAGCTACATATAAAATATTAGGATGTCTATACAAGGATTTTGTAGGTGGTGTTGGACAAAGAGTTCTGCCTAGTCATGTTGCCGACGGTCTGAACAGGCGTTACGGACTACGGGTACGTTTGTTTTCGTTCGTAACTTAACGATAAGGTATTATGTTTATGTTAAGGGTTTAGGTTGAATTGTATGCAACAGGTAGACTATTGGAAAGCTCATCGGTCATTGAGATTTGCGAGACAACTAGTCTCCGGTAGTTTCGAGAGTGGATACCAGGATCTGCCCACTTACTTATACATGATAAGGCGAGCTAATCCAGGGACACTTACAAAACTTGAAGTAGACGACGCCGACCGATTCAAGTATCTCTTCATAGCATTTTCAGCCAGCATACACGGGTTCCGGTTTATGAGGAAAGTTGTGGTCGTTGATGGGACTTTCTTGCAAGGGAAATACAGAGGTACACTTCTAATAGCAACAACGCAAGACGGAAATTTCAACATTTTCCCAATAGCTTTTGGGATTGTTGATACAGAAAATGATGAGTCATGGGAATGGTTTTTCACTCAATTACACCGGGTTATCCCTGACGATGAAGAACTAGCAGTGATTTCCGATAGACATGGATCAATTAGTAGAGCAATTGCGATAGTCTATCCACTGGCCAGTCGTGGAGTTTGTACCTACCATTTCCGAAAGAATGTTATGCTTAAATTCAGAGGAAAAGAATCTTACAAGCTAGTGAAGAAGGCGGCGGCGGCATACCGTCTCGTGGATTTCAATCTGATATTTGCTCAGATTCAAGCTTTGGATCCCGAACTACATAATTATTTGGTGAATGCGGATGTGCGTTGGTGGACACGTGTGCATTTTCCTGGAAACACGTACAATTTCACCACAAGTAACATTGCAGAATGTATGAATAAAGTCCTCTCCGACGCAAGGGGTTATCCTATAGTCGAGCTTGTGGACGAGGCGAGGTCGATGTTAACAAGATGGTTTGCTGCAAGGAGGAGGAAGGCGAGTTTGATGAAAACTTTCCTCACAACAGGAGTTGAAAAACTACTCGAGGTACACTTTGATGCATGTATTTGTTAGTCGCTGAAATTCTAATTCATTAATTGAAAATCAGTCAAGGGTGGATAATTCGAAGCTATGGACAGCTCAGGAGATTGATGATGACCAAATACAAGTGACGTGCGGCGGAATTTTACATGTTGTCAATATAACGGCGAGAATGTGTACATGCCGGAGGTTTGATTTGGATAAAATTCCATGTGTACACGCACTTGCAGATGCATTGTCCGCAAATATACCACGAGTCACACTGGCACATCCTTACCACCGCGCAGAAAGTGTTAGCAATGCATATGCAAAAGTGGTTATGCCTCGCGACATATCTCAGCCGGCGCCTCAAGTTGTCTCAGACAAGGTTTGTAAACCACCTAAGTTGCGGTAACCACCAGGTAGGCCTAAAAACTCACGTATTAAAGGTGTACTAGAGGTTGTCATGGATCGGAAACGTCCCCGAAAGGAACACAGCTGCTCCAAATGTCATCAGTTGGGCCACAATCGTACAACGTGCGAGGCCTGAACCAGAGGTATACTGTATTATGCGTTGAGCTGTCGCAGATAAGGTTTGGGCTCTTAGGAAATTGGGCTTCTGTCACCTTGGGCTCAGAACTTGGATTTTGTTGAGCAATGTCTTGAACGCTTGTTTAGTTTTACAATTTCCATGTTGATCTTGGATCTATCTGTAATAAATTTCAAACTTCCCTCACCTTATCTTGGATTTATCTGTAATGAACGCTTGTTTTTAAATATGTCATCTTTTCGATCTATTGGTTGGCGTGGTTTTTAAGTGTGCTATCTTTTCGATCTCTATCATGTTGGTCTTTTGATATATTACGTGTTTAACCAGCACTTGTGTACGCAATATCGCCCCGTACACCCTTCATTGGTGTACGCATGGCGTCCCGTATACTGTACAGCCGACCCTGATGTACGCAGTCTATTCCCGCGGACCCGCTGAAAATAGTTGGTTATTCTTCCTTGTATTTCACCCGTTCGGTTTACCTAAACGGACCCAAATCGAACACCTAAACTGAGCCATATCGTTTTCAGAACATATTATGTTATTATTCCTTGTACTTCAATATTTAACACGAACAATTGAAACATTGAACATTTAATAATTGAACAGCGAGAACAATGCACCAGACAATATTACATTGGATATTAGGTATTCTCCTCGTTACAAACTTTGTTACACACAATACGTGCGAGTTGAAACATGTAACATTTATTGCATGTGTGCCAATGCATGTTACCAACATAAACGCAGTCAGGGAGCCCCGGATATTGGAAATCTGGCGGATTGGGGTTATGCCACGACGGTGGCACCCACCATAGAGCATGAAGCAACTGGCGACCAAAGCTTTGCGCCCTTTCATCTTCTAGTCCAAACCCAGTAACTCTTGTGAACAGCTCATACATCGCACTTGCCTCCCTGTAATGTCCTAAGCAAACGGAGAACGTAGCAGACGCTATAGCAGCGGCAGGAAATGTTGAGGCGATTCTGTCTAAAAGCGCGATGCCCTCTTCGTATTCGTTGTAGAAGTAGAAAAGACTTAAACCTTCGAAATAAATGGCGTTCTCGTTTCCTGATCTTACGCACCTCAAGAGGATATTGCGTAAGCTCCCGTACGGTTGTGAGATCTCATCGGTGAAGGCAGGAAGGACGTTGCAATGTTTGAGGACATCATCGGAGAAGACGATATCGTAAGTCCGCCTACCAGCACGAATAAACGGCCCTAAATATTTAATAGATCCTATTCCGACCAGTTGAATGACCCGGGAAACAATTTCATCGGGTAAGCAAGGAAGCCTCGTTCTCGGCATACAGAGGGAGAGTAAACGCAAACTTTCTTGGCATGGGATGTATATGAGATTAGCCTACACTCCCTTTTATATAATAACTACCTACTAAAGTCATAAAGAGAGAGTAAACGCAAACTTTACTTCTCATATCTACTAATTTTCTGTGTAGTGGCTGGGAGATGAGGAAGTAATTAATGCTTGGCCAGAAGAGCACACATAGCATAAAAACTCAATATAAGCACTTAGTTGAAAAAGCCGTTCACTATTTCTAGCCCATTCAAAATACGTAATTCGATTAAACGATGACAGTTAATATCAAGCCCAAACACAATGCTTACCTTACGTGATGTCTGAACTGAATCCTGTAAACGGTTAGTTAAGGTTCGTTTCTTCAAAATGCACCTACAAAAACACAAAACAGATTTTTCAAAAGAGTCATTAATATTTCCCACATAAATTAAGTATCTATATAGTAATATTTCAAAGATTATGACGTCAATCTACACTAAAATCCGAATCTAGACTTTCAGTAAATTAAATACCGGATTCTACGGTATAGTCAAATACGGAAGTTATATTTATATTAAATGCGGTCAAAAAAAAAATCTCAACAAAATCTAATTATATTGTATTCTCGGAAAATCTCATTGCTACATAAAGATCATTACCCTTATATAAATATTCTTCCATCTTAACTCAAACCATCACAAAAATAATAGATCTCGAAAATTTTCCAATGTTGAACGACGTTAAACTCGCACGAGTGGGACCAAACCGTCACGATTCGAGGATTACTGTTAAAGTGTTAAAGATCTGGGATACAATTCATGTCGACACCGGTGAAGGGCTCAGTTTCCTCTTTCTCGATGACGAGGTTACTGTTACAGTTTCAAAGTAATTTTATTTTGAAACTAATTTTACATGATACGAATGGATTTCTTAATTTATTTTCACAATTGCAACAGGGAACGAAGATGCATGCATTGGTGGAAAGAAAAGATCAGCATAGGAGATTTAGGAGACTACTTCATGAAGAAGAGTGGAAGACCATATCTGGTTTCCAAGTTCGTACATTTACTCCATGGATTCGTTTGACCAAACAAAGGAAAGAGATTTTCCTCACTTCTGAGACACAAGTTGATGATGCTGACGCCTTTGATGGTTTTATTCCGTTGGATCTAATTCCATTTGGAGATGTTATGCGCTTTGGAGTTCATGCTGGAACTGTTTATCTTAGAGGTTATTTCCAACTATATATCTTTAATTTGTACTAAATCATCCCTGTGAATAAACTTATTTTGTTTTGAAGTTACATATTCTGCTTAATCGGAAGTTTCATGTTTTTTAATTGTAACAGACTTCATAGGCCAAATATTATTTTCTCATGAGTTGGGTGTCATCAAAGATCGTTCTCTTCCTAGGAACAGATTGAACCTTTACGAGAAATATACCAGCAAGATTGACTTTGTGATGCGGGACAACGTGTAAGTTTATATCTACTATATTCCTAATCTCTTTAAAATTAATTACTGGACTATGTAGTATTTATCTGAGACACACTTTTTTATTTGATTTTAGTGGCAATAGATTAAACGTTCGTGTAAAGGGACAGTTAGCAGATAAATTCAAACTCTTCTGGCTTTGTTACGCCAACTGTGGAACAAATATTGTTCTGTTAACTGACTGGCGTGTTGTTGGAAATGATGGTAAGCTCATTCGTGTTGTTATAGTAATATTCTGTAGCAGATTTTCCAATTGTCTTCTTATGTAAACTATATAACATCTTCAATTTTGATTTAATATACAACTAGGTGGTATAAATGTTGAAAGCTCTCCTGGTATCTCTACTTTTGATTTCCATCCCACCGGACACTTAGAGGTGGAACATTTCGAGAATACATTGTAAGTTTTATAATTTGAAAGTCCATTCTTGCTAAATGACTTATCTTACATAAGACTCACTAGCCATGATCGATAATTTTTTATATTGTTTTCTTTTTACAGAGAAGCTGAGGTTGATGATAGCGATGATGATTGAGAATCTGAAGACATGGATGTTTAAATCATTATCTTTCCTGCTATCTATGTGTAACTTAACTATGAGAACCATGCTATTGTTATTTAAGTTTACTTTCAAGTTAAGATTAAAGGTTTCAGTTGATCTACTGTTTTCGAAACCACTAAGTCAGAAAATGTTTTTATATAATTTATTCAGGCACAGAAGATACTGATTCAATGTAAATGTCAGTAAAGCAAGATATTGGTCCAATAACAGGGTTTACCTTTATATTCTGGAGAGTCATAAACCAGTATAGGTAACCGTTCCCAAAAGCTGAGTATCTACCTGCCAAAACACAAAAANACATTTAATAATTGAACAGCGAGAACAATGCACCAGACAATATTACATTGGATATTTTTGTTACACACAATACGTGCGAGTTGAAACATGTAACATTTATTGCATGTGTGCCAATGCATGTTACCAACATAAACGCAGTCAGGGAGCCCCGGATATTGGAAATCTGGCGGATTGGGGTTATGCCACGACGGTGGCACCCACCATAGAGCATGAAGCAACTGGCGACCAAAGCTTTGCGCCCTTTCATCTTCTAGTCCAAACCCAGTAACTCTTGTGAACAGCTCATACATCGCACTTGCCTCCCTGTAATGTCCTAAGCAAACGGAGAACGTAGCAGACGCTATAGCAGCGGCAGGAAATGTTGAGGCGATTCTGTCTAAAAGCGCGATGCCCTCTTCGTATTCGTTGTAGAAGTAGAAAAGACTTAAACCTTCGAAATAAATGGCGTTCTCGTTTCCTGATCTTACGCACCTCAAGAGGATATTGCGTAAGCTCCCGTACGGTTGTGAGATCTCATCGGTGAAGGCAGGAAGGACGTTGCAATGTTTGAGGACATCATCGGAGAAGACGATATCGTAAGTCCGCCTACCAGCACGAATAAACGGCCCTAAATATTTAATAGATCCTATTCCGACCAGTTGAATGACCCGGGAAACAATTTCATCGGGTAAGCAAGGAAGCCTCGTTCTCGGCATACAGAGGGAGAGTAAACGCAAACTTTCTTGGCATGGGATGTATATGAGATTAGCCTACACTCCCTTTTATATAATAACTACCTACTAAAGTCATAAAGAGAGAGTAAACGCAAACTTTACTTCTCATATCTACTAATTTTCTGTGTAGTGGCTGGGAGATGAGGAAGTAATTAATGCTTGGCCAGAAGAGCACACATAGCATAAAAACTCAATATAAGTTAGTTGAAAAAGCCTTCACTATTTCTAGCCCATTCAAACTACGTAATTCGATTAAATGATACAGTTAATATCAAGCCCAAACACAATGCTTACCTTACGTGATGTCTGAACTGAATCCTGTAAACGGTTAGTTAAGGTTCGTTTCTTCAAAATGCACCTACAAAAACACAAAACAGATTTTTCAAAAGAGTCATTAATATTTCCCACATAAATTAAGTATCTATATAGTAATATTTCAAAGATTATGACGTCAATCTACACTAAAATCCGAATCTAGACTTTCAGTAAATTAAATACCGGATTCTACGGTATAGTCAAATACGGAAGTTATATTTATATTAAATGCGGTCAAAAAAAAAATCTCAACAAAATCTAATTATATTGTATTCTCGGAAAATCTCATTGCTACATAAAGATCATTACCCTTATATAAATATTCTTCCATCTTAACTCAAACCATCACAATCTCCTAAAATAATAGATCTCGAAAATTTTCCAATGTTGAACGACGTTAAACTCGCACGAGTGGGACCAAACCGTCACGATTCGAGGATTACTGTTAAAGTGTTAAAGATCTGGGATACAATTCATGTCGACACCGGTGAAGGGCTCAGTTTCCTCTTTCTCGATGACGAGGTTACTGTTACAGTTTCAAAGTAATTTTATTTTGAAACTAATTTTACATGATACGAATGGATTTCTTAATTTATTTTCACAATTGCAACAGGGAACGAAGATGCATGCATTGGTGGAAAGAAAAGATCAGCATAGGAGATTTAGGAGACTACTTCATGAAGAAGAGTGGAAGACCATATCTGGTTTCCAAGTTCGTACATTTACTCCATGGATTCGTTTGACCAAACAAAGGAAAGAGATTTTCCTCACTTCTGAGACACAAGTTGATGATGCTGACGCCTTTGATGGTTTTATTCCGTTGGATCTAATTCCATTTGGAGATGTTACGCTTTGGAGTTCATGCTGGAACTGTTTATCTTAGAGGTTATTTCCAACTATATATCTTTAATTTGTACTAAATCATCCCTGTGAATAAACTTATTTTGTTTTGAAGTTACATATTCTGCTTAATCGGAAGTTTCATGTTTTTTAATTGTAACAGACTTCATAGGCCAAATATTATTTTCTCATGAGTTGGGTGTCATCAAAGATCGTTCTCTTCCTAGGAACAGATTGAACCTTTACGAGAAATATACCAGCAAGATTGACTTTGTGATGCGGGACAACGTGTAAGTTTATATCTACTATATTCCTAATCTCTTTAAAATTAATTACTGGACTATGTAGTATTTATCTGAGACACACTTTTTTATTTGATTTTAGTGGCAATAGATTAAACGTTCGTGTAAAGGGACAGTTAGCAGATAAATTCAAACTCTTCTGGCTTTGTTACGCCAACTGTGGAACAAATATTGTTCTGTTAACTGACTGGCGTGTTGTTGGAAATGATGGTAAGCTCATTCGTGTTGTTATAGTAATATTCTGTAGCAGATTTTCCAATTGTCTTCTTATGTAAACTATATAACATCTTCAATTTTGATTTAATATACAACTAGGTGGTATAAATGTTGAAAGCTCTCCTGGTATCTCTACTTTTGATTTCCATCCCACCGGACACTTAGAGGTGGAACATTTCGAGAATACATTGTAAGTTTTATAATTTGAAAGTCCATTCTTGCTAAATGACTTATCTTACATAAGACTCACTAGCCATGATCGATAATTTTTTATATTGTTTTCTTTTTACAGAGAAGCTGAGGTTGATGATAGCGATGATGATTGAGAATCTGAAGACATGGATGTTTAAATCATTATCTTTCCTGCTATCTATGTGTAACTTAACTATGAGAACCATGCTATTGTTATTTAAGTTTACTTTCAAGTTAAGATTAAAGGTTTCAGTTGATCTACTGTTTTCGAAACCACTAAGTCAGAAAATGTTTTTATATAATTTATTCAGGCACAGAAGATACTGATTCAATGTAAATGTCAGTAAAGCAAGATATTGGTCCAATAACAGGGTTTACCTTTATATTCTGGAGAGTCATAAACCAGTATAGGTAACCGTTCCCAAAAGCTGAGTATCTACCTGCCAAAACACAAAAACAAGAATTTTAATCCACAGAAGAATACCGGACTGAAAGGATGTATTGAAGACTTATGCTACTCTTAATCAGTTGATATAAAAGTCATGAACAAGGATGTATTGAAGACTGCATATTTACGAAAAGAGTAAAATTTAATTTCCAAGTTCTGTCACCTCTATGAACAGAGGAAAAGCTGCAAATGTTTACTTTCACGTGGGTTCATCTTTTGTGGACTTTGGAAATAGCTGTCTTCCTTATTTTCATTTCCAAACGGTCAGATATATTAAATGTATGAAGAGTATATTTATTTTTCCTAACCGAATAACAATGAAATGGTAACATAATTCGACATCCTATAAATAACTCAGCACTCTGTCTTTTTGTAGAACAGAGAATCACAACAAATCTTCAAATATGGCAACTATATCGAAAATCAACGAACTTTCTCCTCATAGGAATGGTTGGACGATAAGAGTTAGAGTTTTGAAGAAATGGTCTGAGATGATAGATGGAGGTGGTGACATATTGCGTTTTCTTTTGGTAGATGATCACGTAAGTTTATTTATCTTCTTCATTCTTTTTTGTTAACATTTTGATTTATTCGGTATGATAGGAACTGCTATTAGTCGTGTTTTATGTACTTTTAACAATAGAAATTGTTTAATCGATAGGATGGAAAAATACCTGCCAAGGTCAGTCAAGAAAATGGTCTCTATGAGAATTTGATGAACAGCTACACGAGGGCGACTGGAAAATCATCACTGGATTTACCGTAGAGTTGTCACCTCCTGGATTTCGTTTTGCTATGAATCACCATACCATCATCTTCACAGGTAATACTAATCTGCAGAGGTCATGGGGTGTCATCACAGACCATTACATGAGTTTCAAGAACTTCCGGTCCATAATGAATGGAGTATATACTTCCAACTATCCAATTGGTATGTTTTTACTAACCGAGCAATTATTAATGTTTGTGAAAACTTATTATCTTGAAGTAGTAATCAATAGTCATTTCATATTTCATAAAAAAATATATAGATACACTCTAACTATTCTTTGAAATAGATCTCCTAGGCTATCTAGATGGCGTTGGTGAAATAGAAGTTGTGACAGACCACACCTTTACACTAGGTGATAACATGCAAACTTCAAGAGTAACATTCACCATCAAGGATCTTGAGTAAGTATAGTGGATAGAGTTCATGATTTTTTTACCTAGGTTTAAATGAGATTAAGCTGTAAATGCGACTTTTATCATCAACTATATATACTTTCCATCTTTAGAGGTCGCACACTGGAATGTGAAGCCAGGGGAGTTTTGGGTATCCAACTCTACAATAAATGGTGGAGGCATGGTGGAACCGAAACATTCATCACAATGAGTGATTGGATGGTTTACACGGACAGAGGTATTTATCACAGTTGCTTAGGAAGTTTTGCATTGTATAGATGGAATGTTACATAAGATAGCATCTAGATAGAGTACAATCGACTATCAATGACTAGCTAAGTTTCCAACGTATAGGAACCAACGAGATGAAGATTAAGGATGCTGGAGGAATCTCTAGATTTGAGTTCAATGCCCTTTACCAGGATGTTTATGAGTTCAGGGCAGCATAGTAAGTGATGAATGTTTCAATTAGCATTAGACTCGAAATTTTTCTCTGTAACTAATAAAACAACCTCTGTGCAGTTTTAATGAGAGCGACCCTACAGGGATAGAGAGTGATGGTTCAAGTGTTGAGCTGGATTGGTCTCCCTGAAAAATGTGTTTCACTTGGAGGGATAATAAGTTTAACTAATATTTCAATGTTGTTAACTGTTCTAGAATCCGTTCGTCTATGTCGAACAGATTAAATAATGTACTATGTGGTTTGCTGTGTTTTTGATGTCGTTTCAATAGAGTATGATCTTAAATTAAATCCTAATCCGTCCTAATCCGTTAATGTTTTAAACGTTTGTTAAGAATTGTTGCCCATCAACTAATTCAATTATACTTTGTCAAATCTGAAGGATGAAAAGGTAATGAATAAGGTTAGTCCTATGGACCCTATAAAGAACTACCCGACCATTGCGTCGTTTAATAATATCAACCGTCTCAATCAAAGACAACCCTAATTTTTTCCCTATATAAGGAGAGTGTTCTCCGAACTTATGTTCCAGAGAAGAAAACTAAGAACTCCATATCTAGAAAATATCTTCAATGGCAAACTTCACCAGACTCAACGTTTGACACCTAATCGTTCTGATTGGAGGGTTTTGGTTAGAGTTGAAAAGATGTGGGATACCTTGGAGGCAGATGTTGGTGAAGGTCTAAGCTTTCTTTTTGTGGATGAAACGGTTTGTTCTCAATCTATTCATATTCATATTTTCTCATATACAAGTTCTTTATGTTCCAAAATCATGTTCCTAATTGAAGTTTACAACTCTAACAGGGCACAAAGATGCATGCTTTTGTTGAACAAAGTAATCAGAGGAAAAGGTTCAAGAGATGTCTTCATGAAGGGGAGTGGAAGATTCTAACCGGATTTTCCGTGGTGATGGTGAATACAGAGATCCGTTTGACGGAAGCCAGAAACAAGATTGCTCTCACGTCCAACACCAGCGTCACACCCGCAGAGGACTCGGATGCTTGGATTCCGCTTGACATCGTTCCTTACGACTATGTTTCGAATTTTTGGAATGATGAACGAACTTCTTTCCCTAGAGGTTAGTTTTTCTTACTTAACATTTTGTATCATCTAAACGAGGAACCCTATAGGAAATAGCTTTCAATATGTTAATGTTATTTGGCATTTTTTTGTAGACTTTCTAGGGTTTATACTTGAAGTTCGTGAGACAATGCTCAGGGAAGATGTCTCTATTCCTAGGAACCCTTTAAACGATGATCCAAAGACCACTAACACAATAGATTTCACCCTACAGGACAACGAGTAAGTATATTTACACAAAACTAAATTGGAATAAGTTATGTATCGTTTCTGAATTCTAACCTGAAATACATACACTATTTGTGGCTACTTTAGTGGGGATCAAATACAGTGTCGTGTAAAGGGTGCCTTAGCATCTAAGTTTAAACGGTTTTGGCTTTACTATGGTAAAATTGAGACCATCGTATGCCTCTTAACCGATTGGCGGGTTCTTGAAGATGCCGGTTAGTGTATGAAAATTTCCAGTTACATCCTTGCTTGAATAATACTATTTATCTTATTTATCTTGATGGGATGTTATAACTTATATGTGTAGATCCTGCTCATATCGAAAGTGAAGAAGGAATCTCTAGATTTGAATTCAATCCTATTGGCTTTGATGAGGTTGACCATTTCACTGAGATAATGTAAGTATTCTACCTATGACTCTCTCTGATAACAAGAATTATGAAAAGGCTTAAAACTTGAATATTACAGCTTAATAAAACTAATGTGTCTATGCAGGTGCTCTTCCTCACAAGACAGCAGCAAAGAAGAAGTTGAAGAAATGGAATTTGATTATTTCAATGGCTGTAGAACCGACAACAAAAGTTGATGGACTTCAGGATATGCTCAAGCAAAATGTCGGAAGATATTTTAAGATCATGCACGTCGTCTACTTTTCTTTATGCAACTTATCTAAGACAACTATATATTAAACCTTTGTTTCATGTTTGGGAACCTTTGTAAACTTTTCTGGCTTCTATTTAACTATGTTTGATTTAATTTGTTCATAGCCTTTTCTAATAACATAACAATAGGTCACAACTAAAAATGAAACAAACAGGAAAACACGGATTGCAAAGGATTGAAAAACAACAAACATTTACCTTAGTATATTTTGCAGCATAGTTCTTTTATATTGAAGAACAATGTTTCCTTTTCAATCCTCTTCACGATGATTCCTACACAATGTTCAACTGTAAAAAATGTAATCAATGACAACCATCATAACTAAATCAATAATATAAAACAAAGTTTATATATGTACGTAAGCATGGTAATGACAACTGACACAGAAAAAGCCAGAAACAGGGACCTTATTATGTTGCAGCGACAACCAATAGGAGAGAAGAACGATGTTTCCTTTTCTTCACTCTTCACAGTTGATAACTTAGCCCGTCAGACATACAAACAATAATTGCGAATAAGAAGTTTTCAATTGATTAACTCATCAACATTGATAAGGATGGTTTAGGGTTTAGATGAGTTTAAAAAAGATATGAAGAGGTAATCAGATTGGTTTAGGTACCCAGAATCGTAATTATATTCACTATCAAAATGGCGGGTTCTCATAGTTAGAATTCCTATCAATAACTCTATCACAAGATAATCTAATTTACATACTCTGGCCACGAAGCAAGTGAAAATCCAATGATTGCTACGGACCGGAATTTGCGAGAGCTTTGGGGTTCACCTGAGGTACATATTGGAATCGGGATGCCGCCGGGATATTCAAAGTTAACTATAAGCCCTTAAAGTCGATTTTGTAACATAATAATACAGGTTACAGAGGAATTTATAAAAATATAAGGCCCACTAACTTTTAAGGCCCATATTTGTCCGCCTCTATACAGGTCCTCATAATTCCCCCAAATTTTAGGGTTTAGGATTGGGAGTGAAATTGCAAAGATCTTCGATCTGTCCCTTCTTACTCATCTCCTATTCTGATTAGCACTGAATTACTACAATGGACGGCTATGACCCTTACTACCACGAGACGAAGAAGGCGTACAATCAAATTGAAAGCGTTCGGCTCCTGTCTGAGTTCGGTGTTGGATTCGTGATGTGGTGTCCTTGCGGCGATGCTCTGGCGGAGCAATTCTTGGAAGGAGAGAAGTACTGGATGTGCGAGAAGTACAAGATATAATCCTCAGCCCGATTTTGAAATACTTACCCTCCGGTGATATGGTAGATGCTGAATATATCGTAACATGATTGTTGACATATCTGATCATAAGCCTGAATGGTTACACTTAGCCTTACTCTTGATTGTCTGTTTCTTTCATGACAACAGTTCGACACCGGCTTGCATTACCGCAAAAGATGGGATACTGCGGTTACAAAGGAAATCGAGAGGTTGAAGGAGCAAAACGAAATTCGTGAGAAGAAAGTTAAAGTCCTTGGAATTCAGCTAGAAGAGACGCAGAAGAAATTGGGGAAAGAGATTGAGTCGAGGGCAAATGTTGTTAGAGAAGTGTACGACATGATCATGGATGTTGTTTGCGGGTGCGATGAATGCAAGAGTAAGGTGAAGACTGCGTTGAATATGCATTTGTAAGCCCGCTCTATCTAAAACAGTCTCGTTATGTTTGAGTCTAGGGATGCATTTTCGTGTTTTTAGAAAGAACCTTGTAATCTGGCTTAATTAACAAGTTTAAAAGACATACTTTGCGTTCGTGACATAACCATAAGCCCAAAACATACCAAGTTTAGCATAAACTTAACATAAATATCCGAAAACAACATAGTTTACGAACGAAATAAAGAGTCTTGTGTAGTACAAAGGGGAGAACATCTACGCCGTCGAAAGAGCATCTGAATCATCCACCGCTGATATCTCCATTTCCGATTCATCCCTGCTCAATTGTCAAACAAGAAAACGGTTCGTCACCAAGCAGAGCAGTTGTGTTATCTCATAATTATATTCACTGACTTGCGCTATCTAACCTTCGTTCCATTGCATGGGCGTCACCGCCAACTCCAGGGAATTCCGGATTGAGATAAAAGCGACAGTATTTTCCTCCATCAACGATCATATTCTCGGCTAACCCACTGTACATCTCTGTCAATATCAGAAGGAGTTTGTCATTGCCTATTACATTAGCCGTACACCATAAAATAAACCCGTCCGCCAGACGTATACTTACTTCGCGATGCAGAAACCCTCCATTCACTTAGGAGAATCCTAACATCACCATCGGGTATGAGCGACCATTCGAGGGAGAATTTCTCCGTTACTCTCCCATAGGCGATGCAGTATAACTCATTGCCACTGTTTAACATGACATTGCATATCCTTATTAATAGTTAGTGGATGCAATCCTTATTCATAGACTGATATACATTTTGCAATAAGATGTGGAATCTCAAACCTTTGGTCCCGGATGGTGAATGGGATAGATCTCTCAGCATTGGCGCTATTCTTCGCAGGGGAGAGCTTGCCAACGATGTGGATGGTCCCGATCAGATCTGCGAGTTCATAATTTCGTATGTGAATAGCGTAAAGAATCCGTAAATCATATAAACTATTGCTAATATGGCTTACCTATCGGGTAAGCAATATTAAAGAATCCCGACATCACATCCTCGAAGAGCGCGAAGTTGAAGAAGTGACGATCCGTAAGCGGCGAAATCGGAGATATGGTCGCCGTTGATGGAAGGACTAACATGTACGGGTGCGTCGAGAGGAAGTGGTTACAGTCTATCCAGTTTGAGCTGGAGACGCAGACGCCGGAAATCTGGGCCCATGATCCCTCCGGAAGCGAATCGAAAAGGTTAATAGCCGGCCTGTTGACAGTTGCATGTATCTTCGTTCCCTGCAATTTATATGTGGGTATTAGAGACAGTGCGTTTACATATCGAAAGGTAAATAGGTTAGTAATAATCAGATATGGATGGAAACTTACTTCTTCATCCACCAGAATGAAGTTAAGAGTCCGGCCCATCGACGCATCCCAGTCTTCCACTCTCCGGCTTTTGACGGGGGGTAAACGTAGATAGCTCGCTGAGAAGGGAATACATTTCGCTTCGGTTTGCGAGAAGAAATTTGCAGAGGAATATGAAAGAGAGTCAATAGTCTAAGATCTTTGCATTTTATAGGCGATGAAGTGGACGATGGCGACGTTTGGAGTTGCTACCGATCAGTTTATAGGGGCATTTGCGTAATTACACGGAAGAATAATTACGTTTATGGGGAGTTGCATATATGTAAACGCACGTGTCACCTAGGCGGCTGGTAGATATCTATCAAATCGGTCATTTATGGACAATCTGTAGCTTCGACTAAGTGCAATAGTCCCCTCAATTCTAATTAAATGTGTAAGTCCATATTAGAAAATACCAATTATTACTAACCAAAGTAGTAGATAATACTTCCTGATAATTCCACTTAATTCCTGCATCAGTCAATGCAATGAAATGTACTAATTCCAGCAATAATCAATGTAGAAATCCCAGATACGATATTAAACCGACGTCGTTTTAACAGTTACAAAAATTAAATTTGAAAATTCACTATAACATCCAATTAAACTTCATATGTGGAGGAGACCAAGTCAGATCTGCAGGAATACTGTGTGAAATAGAGAGAAAATTTTCGAAACGACGCAACGGAAACCCTGAAAATTACAAAAACCCATATCAAAGTTTCAAACCCCGGTTAACATATTCCGAAATGGTCGACCGCAGAGTCGAAGATAATCCGAACGACCCCGCTGCTAGAACCGATATCCGCCGTCGACTGAGAAGTGCCGATAATGATGCGGAGCCCCCGGCGACTCCGACGATTCCAGAAAGTAAGTGCTTCACCAAACTAAGGTGTTATTGCAATCGTATTGGTTGATTTCAACTTGGCTGGGAATGATAAAATACTTTAGATTAACCCTAATTGGCGAATTCAATTGATTTAGATTTCGAAAATAATTGTTTGTAATTGTATTAATGGTTTGCATGATAGAAACTCGCTTAATTGGAAGATGTCGGTTCTAATTTCGCATCGACATCGCAGGAACAGAATCCAGCGGAAGGGACGAAGTCCCCGAGACGAGTGGGAAGGTCATACTCGAAGAAACCCTCCCATCAAGGGTTTTTGCGATGGAATGCTATCCAGAGGCAGAGAGGCTGAACATATACTCGAGATCAAACGTTATTGGTCGCGTGGCTCATGCGTTGGGTGGAACAGAGTCTCTGGAAACTATTCTCGGATCGCAGTTTAGACAGCTGTTCATGTTGGCTGTTGCTAGATGTCACAACTCAGGGAAACTAATCCACTCATTGCTCGCGAGGCAGTTGATAACGAAGAAGAAATACGAGTTGTGGTCAGTTTTTGGAGGCAAGCCATTGAGGTTCTCCATCCGTGAATTCCAACGAGTTACAGGGTTGAAATCCTCAAAAATACCCGGAGGTCACTCACTTGTTCCCGTAGTATCGAAACAACGGTCGAGGAAATGGAAAGAGCTATTTGGGCCTCATTGTATGCACGTGAGCGTGGACGACGCATTGAACTTGCTGGAAGACCCACACCTCGCGGAGTGTAAGCGGTTGCCGATAGCTTTGATAGTTCTGGTAGACGGTGTCCTGGTTATGAACAAGACACGGAAGCTCACACCGGCGTACGTGGATATGCTTGAAGATGTACAACCTTTCCTAGATTTTCCGTGGGGTAGGTTATCATTCATCAGAACCCTATCCCGTTTCGGCCCAGAGCCGTTGTCCACGAAGACTCCGGATCCAATAACAAAGCTTAAGAACCGGCTCAGGCAACAAACCTCTGCATGCTACGGTTTCCCACTAGCACTACAGCTGATAGCTTTTGAGGCGATCCCACTTATACTTGAAAAAATCCCTGATTCAACAAAGACGGCAACTTTTCTAGAAGAACCGCTAGCCTGTGTAACCCCAGCCATTCTGTTAGAAGCTGAGGATATCTTAGAGGTGGAGCACAACCCGAAGGTACGTATTGGTGTTTGTTATTTATGGTAGTTGAAACTCGTTTTGGTTTGGTGTACGTTTTGATGTGTTGGTGTACGTTATTTTCTAGTGGTGGACGATGCGATTAATTGACTGAGTAGTTGGTCGTGTGAACAGCTTATCGTGCAAGGGTACCTCCCAGAAGACGAAGACTCAGATCTCGATTGGGACAATGAAGTTGAGGACGACACAGTCGATCGCATGGTTGAGCTGCTCCGATCAGGACATGTGTTCACACCTCATGAATTCCGTGGAGGAGATTCTTCTTCTCGTCATGTCACACGACAAACCGACGGTGGATCTGCGAGTATGGGAGACACACCTGGTGCAGCCTCTAGGGTCAAAAGGAAACCACATCGGAAGAACCAGAACTGTAATCCTGGGAAGAGAGCTAAAAGACCCTCCGGAAGAGATGCGAATCAGGAGAATGCACCGACTTTCGTGGAGAACATGGCAGAACTGAAAGAGTGGATTACTGGTCAGCTCCGTAATTGGAAGGACGAAGTGGTGGAGTTGATTTCTAGCAAGCTCGAGAAACGGGATGGAGGCGATGTGAAAGAAAATGTGAAGAAAACAGATCAGGAAATTGCGAAGGAGGCGCAGGAAAACAAAAAAACGAAGGAAAACGTATTGCACCATGTAGGAAAGGGTGAGGCTAGAGAAGAAGATAAGCTCAAAGACAGTGAGGAGGAGATTGATGATGTTATTGCGGTGGGAGTGAAAGCGAAGGTAAAAGTTTGCGACGCAAACAAGGCAGGCACGAGTCGGAGAAGATCGAGCAGACTTAAGGGAAAGGAGCACGCGGATTCTGTGAGTCTAGATGCACCTTCCCTGCACGATGAAGAGGCAGAGGGAAGTGGCCAGAAACAACAACTAGAATCTGATAATAGGGATGAAGAACTCTCAACCTACGATGTCTAGGGTAATCCAACTACAACTCCAAGACAACAGCCCGAAACCGACGACGTTGGGGGCGTGCAGGATACAGAATGCAAGGAGAATGAGGACGAGAGTGATGATGTTATTCTCGTTGGTATGAAGGCGAACGTACAAGAGAATGACGCATTTAAGGCATGCACACCACTGAGGAGATCTATCAGACTTAAGAGAAAGGAGCTCGCGGAATCTGTGAGTGTAGATGTACCTTCTCTGCAAAAAGAAGAGAAAAAGGGGAGTGTGAAGAAACGCAAACAAAAATTTGATGTGCCCAATAAAGGGGCATTTGAAGATAAAGAAACCTACGATGAATGGGGTAATCCAAGTACTCCTCCACACAATCCGCCCGACCTTGGAGGCGTACAGGATACAAAATGCATCGCCAAGCAGGGTGGTTTCGAACAGGAAGATCACCCCGCAGCCGTTGGACCTGACCAGACGCAGCAGATGGTACGTATATGCTTAAATTATGTCAATATAAATGTAAGAGGCCCGTCCACCTCTGCCGTGTACACCGTCCACCTGTAGTGTGTACACCGTACCTAGGCTTGTACACCGTCCACCTTTAACTATGTAGTCCGTCCACCTAGGCGAAACTAATGCTGTATTTATTACAGGATATGGTCCCTTCGCCACAACAACTTCAGATGATTGTTCACAGTGGACTAGGTATGTACTCCCCTATTCAAGCAAAACCTATTCAGCTGGTCGTTCGCACCACACCTCCCGATAACAGGTCGCCTCCAGAGGGATCACAACAAGGAACCCCAGATAACGCTCACACTGGCCCTTTGAATGGGCGTGGTCAGAAGCGTGTACCGCAGAAGTCTGACAAAATAAGAGGCCCGTACACCTGCGAAGCAAGGGTATCTCATCTATTTGCAAGTAGCACGAAACCCGCTTATGCACCTATTGAACCTCTTAATGCCAACAAATGGGAGACATTCAGAAAAACTCTGGGAAGGGCGAAAGCTACGTAAGAATTTTTCACTTACATAAAGATTCTGATTATTTATATGGATTGCGACTGACATGATTGTCTAACCATGGTAGGTCCTTCGATATCATCACGGGGCAGACTGTTTCGAATGGATTCTTCCTCCAGATTGCGAAGCCAACACAGTGGCTCTCAACACCTATACGCTAATAGATATATATTGAATATCTTTGTATCTATATTTTGACAGGGTCGTATGTAGATATGTAAGAGTGATTGATACTTTGTTTTATAGCATATGCAGGTAATAACGGCACTCCTCCTCAGGCGACTAGGGGAAAGTTTACTGGAAGAGAGAGCAGTATTCATAGATCCATGGTTCACGAGCTTCCTCGTGTCAGGATATCCTCGGTTTAAAAAAATTCGGAAGAAAGAGAAGTGTAATTGGTCAGCAAATGTGGAGAGTTTCGTCACAGGGAGAGTCGGTTGATCTGGCAAGCAACTAAAAGCAGTTTTTGTCAAACACGTGGACCGTGTGTACACTCCAATGAACTGGGGTAACACACACTGGGTTGGTCTGCTCATCAATCTACGCCTCGCAACCATAGAGATTTACGATTCTTACAAAACCATAGCAGAGACAGACCAGCAAGTTGCTGACCACATGGAACCTCTTCTAGTTTCACTGCCCTGGGTGATGAAGCGGTACTTGCCAGCGGAAATAGCTGACTCCATCTCAACCGCTGCGTACACGTGGAGGCGGGTGGACGGGATATACCAGAACTTGCGGAGCGGTGACTGTGGACCGTGTGCAATGAAATTCCTCGAGATGCACGCTGCGGGAATTGACGTCGACGACATGGGGAAGCTCACAGACAAAGACGTCGATACGTTTCGTGCCATATACGCAATGGACTGCTACGAAGAGTTTGTAGGGGATCCAGTTGTGGTTAACAAATGAACATTACGTTAATCATGGTTCTTGTACCGGAGTTTAAAAAACTAGATTGATTCGTGTATTGAAATTAAATCGTAAGGTGGACACACTCCATATATGTTATTTGTTTGGATTATTCATAATTAAATTTTGTTGTCTCGGAAGACAACCGATTTGATAATTATCTAACAACCGCCGAATAAGATTTACTCTCTGCGTTAAAATCCTCTTAAATATGGTACAACCAATAACTCATTAATAAGTCACTGTATTAAGGTCATATTCTTTGTGAAACACAATGACTTAGGCAACACAGTCTACACCTGCCAAAAGGTATTGATGTGCCGTGTCAAGGGTTATTTTCAATTAGTTAATTAAAACTTGATTTGACATATTTTCCTTTAATGCAAAACGTGTATATGTGGTAAAAACTAAATAAAAATGCAGGCTGAAACTCCTTTTTAAGAAACCACTAAACCTACATTGAAGCCCTAAAAGTGGAGAGAGACTGAGATGAGATAAATTTCCGCCGAAGACTTCCTTGGCAAAAGAAGAACAACGAAAATAATGGCAAACTTATCCAGATTGAACCAGTTGAATCCTCGACGGTCAAACTGGGAAGTCATGGTCAAAATCCTGAAGAAGTGGGTAGAGATTAGACAGTATCAACCAGATGTCCTCCACTTCCTGCTTAAGGATAGACAGGTAAGCGATTATCTTCCATTGTTGTTTCTTTTACGGGGTACTCTGTTAGAATCGAATTATCACCATCTATATTGCTTACAAAATCGTTTTCCGTTTCAAAACCATATGTCTGATTAGTGGGACAACGTTTTGTTTGTTTGCGTTTATAACATATCAAATCTGAACACTTAAACATGTCCAAATTATAGCTAAACTACCCTAAACGTTTTATTTGTATATCTTTTGCATACAGAGGACCAAGGTTCATGCCTATGTCAAAGTGGATCGAGAGTTGTTCCAATATTTCAATCAACGCATGTACGAGGGTCAATGGAAAATCCTGAAAAGATTCATTGTGGTAAACGCACCTGAGTCGGTTGGAAGATTCGCGGATAATCCCTTTGAGCTAATTATCAATGAACACACGGACTTGGATTCAGCACAGGGAACCGATCTTCCTCACTACATGGAGTTTGAAGATTTCAAACGAGTGAAGGCAGGGCAGCGCTTGACACCTAATCCATTAGGTAATGACACTGGACTCCGATTTCATTAACTACCATTAGGTCTTTGTATAGAGACTGATAGGCGAACTAAGACAACAGTGAAACAGAAACTGATATTTTGTGGCTGCTTCGTTGTAGATTTCATAGGTTATCTTGATTCCGTTACGAAACCTACTTGGGTTCACGACGCTACATTCACTTTGACTGACGAGAAAACAACCGCGCGGATCGAATGTGGCCTCAAAGACACTTCGTAAGATGTTCACCTTATATGATCCCGTTTATACATACTTTCATATTCATGTACAATCACATTGTTAATGACTTAAAATACCCTGTCATTTTGCATTGTTTACTAGTGGAACGTCTATTAAGTGCGTGGCCTACGGTGAGTTAGCGTTGCAAATCAATGATAGGTGGTTTAAGAACGGCCACAACGAAGTCATTATGACCTTAAGAGACTGGAAACTTGCTTACTCCACAAGTAAGTCAGATTTGTAAATACTTACTCGGAAATTGGATAGCAATTCCATAATCAAATCGTTGAGTAAATGTTTTTAACAATCTTAATCTTATGATGTACAAGGAACTGGGGAGTATAAGATCAAGTCCATCCCCGGGATATCTCGGTTTGAATTCAACGCAGATTTGTATGATGTTGATGCTTTCAGGTGGAAGTAGTAAGTACTTTCAATTCATGTTTAACTATAAAAGCAAAGCAGAGTAGTTTATATTTTCATAATCAAATTGCAAAATCATGTTTCAGTTTCGTACTGGAGGAGAAAAACTCCGCAGATGATCAGAGTAGCTCCTCCTCCTCTGATTTGTCTGTTTCATCAACCAGTTCTGATTCAAGCGGCTCAGATGAAAGCGGCGGTGGTGCTGGACCATCGGGGACGGCATCGAATGGGTCAGGAGATGCAACAGAAGTTATAATAATCGACTAATAATAGACCAGCAATTTCGGAAACTAGGAGAGCGTTGAGCGATTCGTCTTAATGTTATTTCCTTCATAAGTTTGTTAATCATGAATTGTTTGTGCTTCAGATTAAGCTTTTTAATGGTCAGGATATCGCCTCTCTATGCTTCGATATGGCTTGCTAATGCCAAAAATATTGATTAGGCTTATGCTTTTGTTATTTTCTCGTACTTTCTTTGTTAATGCAATGGATTTGTCCTGCTAATTGCCATTATTATGTTGTTGTTTATGCTATTTCGTTTCTTAATTAGACAAAGCAGTACCATACAGGATCTAAACCACAAACCAGTTTTTGCATCGAAAGACATTACCATCACAAAGTACATAGACACGAGATCTAGGCTGACATGAAATAGAAGGATAAGACCACTCCCAAAACGCAAATAGTCACGCTTTTGCAGCAACTCATGCCAGATTTTACCTTCTCTATATCTTCCTCACGACGTTTGACAACTGCCTTTAGCTCCTCTACCTCTTTTTTGCATCCTTCTGCAAGTGTTTTCATTGCCTTAATTTCATCTCCATACCGATTTACTACAGCTTCACATGTTCTCGTTTCCATTGCTAAGTTAAAAAACTCCTCTTCGATCTTCTGAATCACCCTTTCAACCTCTTCCATCTCTTCAACCATTGAAATGTCGGTCCATTTGAACAAATGGTTCTTATCCTACACCCACAAGTTTAAAAATCAAATTACATCATATGACCCTTATCAAAAATCTCAAAGAAAATCTCTTATAAATCTTACCTCTTTGGAACGAAATGGACATATATAGTAAAGTCTACCCGGATTGGGCACGGATTCTGAAGTCCTAAGCACCGTTACTTGTCCACATCGACACTTTCTAGGGATCCCTTTCCCTCCGTCAACACCATTGCGTCTTATGTTGCTCACTCCTTCACAATAACGAAAAATCAGCCTACATAGTATCAACTGTTACAACAGAATCTCGAATTGCTCACCTGAAGTAGATGAAGAAGAAGACATCTCAAACACTCAATTTTTGTTCTCTCTAGAAACGTACCCCAATTAGTCGAGTTCGTCAATTTTGATGGGTTGAAGAAGACAAACAAAACGACGATGTTTTGTTTATTAAGAACAAAACGATGCCGTTTAAGCTAGACAGAAAAGACAAAAAAAAAACGAAAAATGTTGAAAAGTAATCATGTTTTATTAAACGTATTTAATACGGAGGTATTGACACGTACGTCAAACATCATCATATAACCTTCCACTAGTTGGAGCATTTACGGTTTCGTAACTCCCCAGAATGGTAATAATTCTTCCTTGTAGAAACTCAACTGCCCTCTCTTTATTAGATTAATAACTGCTCGTTCTCTAACAACGCAACCTTTCACTTGCTATATACTTCTGCTTTCTTGTATCGCTATCTCTATTCCGTAATCCGCATCAGATCCTCTCTTAAAACAGAGAAAAAATGTTTTCACTTCTCAAAGAGATTCATAGGTTCTCCACTATCCGAAAGCCCGCCACCGTCAGGGTTATGGTTTACCGGAGGGTTGAAGACTGGGATGCGTGGTTTCAGCGCACACTCGACTTCATTCTCGTCAATAGTGAAGTTAGTTACCTTTCCGATCTGTTATAATTATCAATAACCTCGTGAAAGTTGTTTTAATTATCCGATTATCTGGAAAATAACTTTTCATTTCTCAGGGGAGGAAGATACACGCGACCCTCAATACACGGACTATTGACCGTTTTGATTCTCTTCCGGAGGGAGCGTGGGCACAAATATCCGGCGTCGTTGTTTCAACAACGAACTCGAGGAATTGGGACCATTTCCTCTCGACGCACTCGTGCATGCTTGTCCTTCTGTCCGACGCGACCATAATCCCGATTCCGCCTCTGACGAATCGCCAATTCTTCAACTTCACTCACTTCGACGATGTCGAATCCGGATACTTCAACGAATATATCCTTACTAAAACCGAATATATTTAGCATCTATCGTATTCGTCTGGGGACATGGTAATTGGTTCTTCCCATGTGTTGAAATCGCAGACCTTATCGGGACTATCAACTACGTTGGAAAGCTCTCACCGAAGAAAAACAGCGCAAATGCTGAGAGATCCATCCCATTCACCATTACGGACCACAGGTTTTGAAATCGCTCCCCGTACTAAGTCAGTTTCCTAATATTTTTGAAACAAATATTGTTAATTGAGTGTACAAACGCCTAAACCAGGGATAACGAACTCTATTGCATCGCATATGGGACCGTGGCTGAGAGGTTCTCGTACGAATGGTCTCTCCCTCGTGAGGGTGTGGTGAGGATTCTCTTGAGTGAATGGAGGGTCTCGCAGTCTCGAAGTAAGTGTACCGCTGGTATACGGGTTTATGGTCTAGGTTTTCTAGTGGTGGACGTCCTTTATTAAAGTCGATCGAATGTTTTATTGTCTTCTGATAGTGATTAACACGATGGAACCCGAGAACATGGTCGTCGATGGAGGGAAATATTGCCGATTTTGGTTTAATCCGGAATTCGCTGGAGTTGCTGAACTTGCAATGGTACTGAGTTGAGATAACGCAATTCGCGTAATGCTATTATTTATGTAGCTTACTTGGTATAACTGGGATACTATTTTGAACATTTTTGCAGGGTTGATTGTAGTATATGGCAATAACAGCTGTGGAGACATCAGAGACAACTCAAATGCGTAGCATCTGCCCTCTCTGAACTCTAAAAACTCCTCTCTTTTTTTATCTTTAAGCTATGTTGTCTAAAAACTCTCCGTTTGTCTATGTTAATTTGGAACTATCTGTTTGGTTTATGTTTGATATGTTAAGACAATCGGCAATATAATGTTCGAAAACTTATTTTATGTTGTATTTTGGAGAATTCGGCAAGGGGTATATGTTCATCATCTCAGAAACTGCATCCCGGATACCATCGACCACTAAGTTGTGGAGATAGATAGTTGATTTCGAATTTTCCCTCAGTTCTGCTGTTATTAAAATGTAAACAGAGTAAATACCTGTTTTGCCAAGAACGATCGTAATAATTACCGACCCAACCAGAGTTTTATCCATCCGAAAGAACCACCCGACCCGAACCTTTTAAAACCCTAATTATTACTATCGCGTTACGGAGCGTTAATTTCAAAACTCTCAGAACATTTAGAAATTCGAATCTTCCATTGTGAATGGAGAGTGGCTTTTCGATTGAGAAACTAAAATTCACAACATTTACGCCCTTTCTTCGCATCTACCAATTCGCGTCATCTATTTGAATCGAGCTTACTGTCTCCTTACGGGTAAGCGAAAAATATATCATGTCAGTTGCGAATTGAGTTTCGGATTAGGGTCCCTTCGGATTATTCATCTGATTTTGTTTGTGGTTAGATCATGGCACAGGAAAAAAAAGCGCGACGAGGAGAGTATGCGTCAGATCAAGCCCAGTCGGAAGAAGAAGCTCACCCGGAACAACCCACAGACTTCGATAGGGTTTCTCAAATCGGTCACTCGAAAAATTCCCAATCTGTAATACGAGACACAACCGTAGAAGAAGAAGATTTGTCTGGTAACGAAGAAGAGGAAAACGTAGGTTTTTTACTGATTACATTTCGTCATCGAGTATGTGAATGGTTGGTGGAACACTAGGGTATCTGCGTAGGAGTGCCGCTAAGTAGCTAAAGTAGAGCAACATGTATGTCTCGGTTACGAAATGTTAAAGTATTTCTAAACCCATTGGTAAACTTTTGTTGAATCTACCGGATGACGAGGAGGATCCCCATTCTCAAGACAAGGAGAACCCAGATGATGGGAACAAAGGAACCGGGAAAGAACAAGCTCATCAACCGGAACAACAGACAGTCGGTGAAGATGGTGACGGAAATATTTATTCGTATGAACACGACTCTCTACCACTTCCACCAGAGAAATTTTACTTCAGTCCGAAGCAATATAGGAATAGTTGCAAGATATCATCGAGATGTTATGTGAGGGAAATTGTGGCTGCGATTAAGAAGTACCCCAATGAATTGGAGTTCTTCACAAGGCATCCGCAGTTCAAGCATATATTTCACATCGCAGAGGAGCCAAACCGCAAATCACAGGGACTATGGATGCTGCTACTTCATCATGCCTCGACTGAGATAGAGAATGAGTTGTGGTTTGTGGTAAATGGAGTACCTATTAGGTATTCTATCAAAGAGCATGCGCTGTTAACTGGGTTAGATTGCCATGATTACCCAACCAACTACAACAATTTAAAGGATCCGGAAAAAGGAGATTATAAGTTTGTAGAGAGGTGGTTTAAAGGATCCAGGAGGATTACTGTCGCAGATGTGGAAAAGAAACTAGTTGCAATGAAGAGCACGGTAAACAAGAAGAAGATGGCGCTCTTGTATTAGTTGAGCAATGTGTTGAAAGCGAAGTCTAAGTTTGATGGATACATAGAGCCGTTTCTACTCAAAGTTGTCGATGATTTGAAGCTGTGTGAAACTTTTCCATGGGGCCGCTACACCTTCGATGATTCAATCGCAGAAGTGAAGAAAATCATGAAGAAGTTCAAGAAAGGTATCGTAAAGAAGGGAGATACATGGCGCTTTTCTGGTTTCATTCTTCCTCTTGAGGCATTTGCATTTGAGTGTATCCCTAACCTTGGACGCACCTTCCGAGTCACTGTAGATGCAGACAATGAATGTCCGAGGTTGTGCAAGCACATGTTCAAAGACATTCATATGAGAGGATATAAACTGAAAGACATTAACCATGCAATCGGACTTGACAAGGTCAGCGGCTTCACTCATATGTGGTTATTTACGTCTATGTTTTGCAATTTTTTATATTCGTATCATTCATGCAGGACATCATCAGCATTTTGGAACCAACAACAGACGAGGAATCCCTGATGGAGCTTATCATCGATCCTGGATGTGATGATGGCATAGGTTATGTAGATCCTATTGTAGATGGTTGGAGAAACCATCTAATAGTTCAGAAAAAGAAGTTATGGTGGGAATCTTTATACAAAGAGGAGTTGGCGGGAAGAGATATTACCGAGAATGTAGAAGAAGAAGAAGAAGAAACTCAAAAGAGTGCAACAATTGTGGAGCTCAACGAAGTGATAAAGGCATTCGCAAATAGAATGGACAGAATGGAAGTTGTGACAAGGGAAATACAGGATAAGTTTGGTGATTGGAATGAGAGACTTGTAGATGTTGAGAGGTCTGTCAAGGACCTGCGAGACAAAGCTGTAGAGAGTGCACCATGTAGTTTTGCTTTAAGACTTAAGTAATGTAATGTAAGGTACAATTAGGCTTTCCGCGGTTCAACTTGGTTGCGAAATCTGTATAACCTGGTCTCTGTTTGTTCAACTCCTAAGGGAGTCCAGAAACACTTTGTTTTCACACCCACTAATGGTTTTTGTTGGTTCATCTGCTTTGTTGTTGTTTTCTGTTCCATTATTGGGTATAAACCGAGACATGCTAACTAAGTTGACAGAGTTTTAATTGAGTCAAATACACACGCATAAGAGGAAACATATGGAACCATGATATGAGAAAGGGGACCAAGCAAGGTTCAATTTTTAGGACATATAAACTAAGGCATAACATAAAGAGAAACAAGTCCTCATACAAAGCTTGAAAAAACGGATAACGGTCTTCTTCCGAGTAAACACGCTTTGGTGAACATAGAGACTGACGTCTGCCACTTGATTCTGAGCAGTTACTTGAACCAAATTATGAAAAGACCAAGGAATAGAGTAAATGTAGCAAGCACAAATGTAATCTCCAGTCTTGTGCTCCTTGAGCAGATCACGAACCAACACCTCCGTCTGCAGAAAATCCTCTTTTATCTTCACAATATCCATCTCCAGATCTTCCTTCAGATCACGGGTTTTTTTTTCCGCCAAAAGTAAGTCGGTCCACAGGATACTTATCTCTTTAAGTGCTTCGTCCGCGTGGGCACATGTGCGGGAATCCTCCTTCAGACTTGTAATGTCAGAGCGCAACATTTCAATTTCCTCTTCGACACAATTATCCCACAACTTGCGAATATGATGCCCAGCTTCCTACAACACGATATGGTAACAACATCAAGTTCTCATTTTTTGCTAAAATATCAACATCAACATGATAGAATTGTCAAAAACTCACATCACGGCGGCGGCAAGTGACAAATCTCATTCCTTTACTGTCTCCGTTGGCGGTCGTCTCAACAAAAACCGATCCACCGCAGTAACACAGATGAGGAATGCCGTCTTCATACTCTCCGAGGAGACCTGGATCTAAAGACGCCGGGGACGGCACGGAGGATGAAGACGTCTCTACCCAACTGTGAGGACCCATTCCCTTGTAAGAAGAAACAGTGATTCAGATAGATACGAAAATAAGTTGAAATATTAAATGACCTAACAGTGAAACTTAATTTAGTAATTGTTCTCAAGACCGTACTAATTCTACGCAAGAATCTAGTGAATCGAGGATATCGAACCTTATTTTGCACCTGGAAGACTGGAATCGGCACCTGCTTCGACTGGAAATGGAATAAGGTCGAAGAAGAGTCTCTCTCTATATATGTGCTCTCTCTAGAAATCGAAACCCGAAAGCTCAAACTCTCTCTTCTCTCTGCTCTTCCCGAATCCCAAGGCCCGGTGTAAAGGAAATACCATTTAAATGAAAAAAAACTAAACTAATTAATTAAAAATTAAAACTCCCTCCAAATTTTCCCGCCGGCGGCGTGGTGAAATTTCGTCAAACATGAGCGTAGTTGTACTCAAGGTGAAGGTTGAACCAAAATGGACAGTAGTTGAACATTAACCGTTTTCGTATATTTCTAGTTGAACTGTGTAATTAAACTTTAATTTCCAGTGGAACAAATGTATTTAGGCCTTATAGTACCCATATAAACGTTCTAGTACGGTTAGATGTTAAGAAACCTACATTTTGGTGTATTCTCGTCAAATTACCATAACAATACATATGTTTTCCTTGTATTGTCATGGTTACTTCATGTCTAAACATTGATTTTTACGTAAAACTGTAAATTGCATCATATTATCATTATAAATCACGGGACTATATGTTAAACATGTGTTTTTGGTAATTGTTAGGTTTATTTCAACGTTATACATCATGTCTTAAACTGATCTATATGATCCCATTTTAAAAACAACAACAAATAGAAGTTGAACCATTACGAATCAGTTGTACCGAATTAAAGAGGACACGTGGAGAGTCCAGATTTTCCCATTTGTCCATCATCTCTTCTCTCTGCTCTTCCCGAATCCCTAGGCCCGGTGTAAAAGAAATACCATTTAAATGAAAACGAACTAAACCAATTAATTAAATATTAAAACTCCCTCCAAATTTTCCCGCCGGCGGCGTGGTGAAATTTCGTCAAACATGAGCGTAGTTGTACTCAAGGTGAAGGTTGAACCAAAATGGACAGTAGTTGAACATTAACCGTTTTCGTATATTTCTAGTTGAACTGTGTAATTAAACTTTAATTTCCAGTGGAACAAATGTATTTAGGCCTTATAGTACCCATATAAACGTTCTAGTACGGTTAGATGTTAAGAAACCTACATTTTGTTGTATTCTCGTCAAATCACCATAACAATACATATGTTTCCCTTATGTTATAAGGGTTAGTTCATGGTTACTTGATGACTAAACATTGATTTTTCCGTAAAACTGTAAATTGCATCATATTATCATTATTAATGTCTGAATATATGTTAAACATGTGTTTATGGTACTTGTTAGGTTTATTTTCAAATTAAACATCATGTTTTAAAAATGTGTTTAAAATTATCTTTTTTTCTACTGTAATTTCGTGGCCGGTTTACAGATGCAATCAAAGACAGTTAAGTGGCAATCCCGGTCTGCAATTTCACGACTCATCTGACAGCGTGGCTTATGGTCTCACTCCGCAAAAACACGTTGAGAGCAACAAATTTCCTTCCTCTCAACCAAAAATTTAGCGAACCCATACAAGTCATGCAGTCACTTGGTTCACTCCGAAAATGTAGTTACCATTACAACCGTCTACCTATATGACGGCGCCTAAACTCAATACCACACAAACATACCATCAACACTACACCAAATTACTTAACACAATGACTCCTAAACTCCTAAACCATTACATTCTTCCTAAACGATGGTTTCACTACTACAACGAATCCAACGAATCCGTCTCCAGCCCCTGCGAAGCGTCATCAGATGTACCACGCGGCACGGGCTTGTCTTTGGGTACGGGCTTGTCTCTGGGATTATCGGTAGCAGGAAGTCAGACAAGTCCACCTCAGCCATCATCTCAGCAGCGTACTTGATACGGATGTCACCCACATTCGTGTCGTCGATGCCGGTCAGAGTCCGTCCAAGAGCTAAACACTCGATGGCCTTCAGGGTGTATACACCGCAGTCCCCGGTTTGATCATTCTGCGGAAGACCCTTTACCAGGTAGAAGTTGTAGGCAATCCCGCCCATTTGTTGCTTCTCCTCTTTTGGTGCGACGTGTCTCAAAAGCAGCGGAACCAGCTTCATATACGGCTTCACAGACTCTTTTACGACATCCACATCAAATGCCGAGTAGATGGAATCATAAACTTTTACCCTCTTAATTAGCAAATCAACCTCAACTGCCACCCAATGAGTATTGAGAATATTATGGGCGATGTACAAAGTGTCAACATCTTTAACCCATTTCTTGTTGGTTACGGCACAGTCTGGGGCAATACCGTTGTAATGGTTCTCGTGCCCAATAGAGAATTCAAACGTCTTCTCGTGGCCGAGATACTTATTTTGTACTCTATACACAACAAACTGGTGAACTGAGGGTCGAGGAAAGTAATCCTCTCGTTTCTATATGGACACGGCCTACGCAATGACCTTTGGCGGAACATGTTCATACCCGCGACCATATGCTGTAACAGGAAAACATTGAATTTATTCACATATTTCATACAGTACATATCATCACATATCTCATACATACATAAAAATTACTAAATTTCACGCATTTACCAAATCGGAAAGCCACCCGTATTCATCTACAGCCCACTGTTGTTTGGGTGTCATTAAGGTTAGGTAGAAATCTGCCACAGGCCTGCTACTTTCGATAGGGTTATCCCTGCAACAAAGATTATCCCATCAACATCATGTGTGCAATGATATATATGTATCCACTCTAATCTACCGGGCTTCTATATAGTGGTGACTTACAAATATGTCTTCACATATTCGAGGAGCGCAACTTTCTTCTTTCTATCGACCTTCTCTAAAGGATCATACGTCGCCTGAGGATTGATTCCGGCTTTCCTTTTCTCCTTCACGGCAGATCTAGGACGAGATTGTTTCGGTGACAAAAGGATGTCTGGCGAAGGCGTAGGCCTCACCGCTTCCTCCTTCACGGCAGATCTAGGACGAGATTGTTTCGGTGACAAAAGGATGTCTGGCGAAGGCGTAGGCCTCACCTTTGCTTTGTCCTGTTTTCCCTGCCTTCCCAGCTGTTGTGCGTTGGCCGCAAATGCTTTCATCAGAAATTCATCGTCTTCTCCATCACTTAGTTGTGGAATTATAAACGGCGTCTTCCCCGCCGGGCGATCACCTCCTAACTTTTCAATGGGATCGTTCAGTTCCAGCTTCCTTCGCGTGGGTTTCTTATAATCGTATGCCGGGTTCCTTATGGTTCTGGTTATAGTAATCCCTTCCTGCGATGTTTCAACCTCTGTTGCAACCACGACTGCAATGGTATTGTAAACATGATTCAATGGTATTTCAAATATGAATAACAAAACCACTGCATTCAAACAAAAACAACTAACCGGTTCCGTACACGCTTCACAACCCTTCTTATTGTCCTTCTCCCCAACAGTGTCAGACTCTGCATCACACACCTTCTCCTCGTCTACTTCATCGCCTACTTCATTCCTTTTTTTCGTCGACCCCTCCTCCACAGTAGTTTTGTTCGCTTCCAATAGTTCAAACTTCCTTCCCAGCTCAGCAAGTTCTCAAGAATAGTGTTAAGCACATTCGCTAGTGCTTCATCAGCAAGGCCTTCGGATGGTTTTCTTATATCTCTTCCATCCCAACCTAACCCATCTTCCGTTTTTTTCTGAGATTCAGAATCACTATAGTCTCTCGGCTCCATCTTTTTCGTCTTCTGCTCTTCCTTCTTCGTACTTGAAATCTTTCGCAAAGGTTTCTCTACCAAATCATCATCACTATCTACCACCACTTCTAACTTTTTCTTCCTCTTCTTTTTGTTCAACAGTTGCTCTTCTGTTTCCCAGCAACTTTCATCCAGACACCCTCCAACAATATCACGAATCATGTTATCAAGCTTGATATCACCTCCTGCCTCTTCGCCTGCCCAAACGGGATATATCTCTTCCAGAGGTTTCAACACTAACTGCCTAACTCGAACCTGCAAGGGCATTACAAAATAATCTTAGTAAACAAATACATTCTTCTATATTGATCATCATAACAATCGTGTCGTTTACGAATCATAAGAAACAACACGACTGGCAAACGACTAATACCTTATCCAGACCGGTTTTTTTCTTCTCTTCTTCCACTAATGCTTCCAGATTGTATCTGTTGCGACATGATTCCCACCGAAGTAATGGGATTTCAATGTTTCCTCGTCTCTTACCAAATTTCTCACCTATTATTGGAATAGCCTCGTATGCCCATATCAACAGCGCATGTACACATCCGTGTACGACGTACGTCTTCCCATCAAGTTTAGCTACTTTTATGGACTCCATCAACTCCTTAAATCCCACTCTGCCCCAAGGATAACTCTCAAATGACTCCGGAACAAGAACCCTTTTAGCATGCTTAAAAGAAATCCTACTAGACCGAGAAATGCCATATATTCCAATGTGCACAACAAACAGCAGCGCAAGCATTCTCTTCTGCTCGTACGTCCAAGTGCTGCATCTGCCAAGCGCTCCGTTCAACTCATGCCAAGAAGGTCCTTCCCCATCTTTAATGCCGACCAGGTCCCAAAAAAGTGTGTTCTACTTGCAAATCATCATTACGGTCAAACTCTTTACAGTTTAGCTGTGTGATTTCCCCAAACTCGTGGAGAGAAAACCTAATTGGCCGACCTCCAAATAGTGACCATATCTCATTACTCGACTCAATAGCCAATTGATGTGTTAGGAGGTTATGACATGTCTTCGCACACCACATGTAACTCCTTGAGGCAAGCTTCAGAATAATTCCCACTTGAGATGTACTCATAACGTCATTGAAAACTTCTTCTCCTACAGAGTGCTTCAGTTGCCCAAACTCGGTCAACTTGCAGTTGTGATGCAAGCTTCGATCTTGCAAAGGAGATTTTCCGGCTGGGAACAATCTCCCCTGATATTCCCTCCCAATGTAGAAGAACCCATCTCTGCGAAAAAAGTTTACAATAAGATGTCCATTTAAAACTAACCGGAACTCATATATCTACCGCAAGGTCAAGTATCTGTTAATACTAAGAGATAGATCTATACATACTAATAAATCTACCGCCCTTCCTTCTTCAATTAGAACACAAAAATCTATCATAATTGCTCGCCCAATATTCAAAAATCTTTTACTTTTACATTACCTTTCCTTTCCGCTCACGCAGATGTCCCTCCCTCCCGCCGTTACGAATTCGACCTCCTACGCTTCGCTTCCGAGAGACCTGTCAAGAACTCAGTGGTTCAAGTATGATACTTGTCCGACTCCGATACCTCTAATAAAGAAAATTCATCTACAATTTCGCTTACCCGAAACTACACCACCTAAGATTGTATTTTGCTCCGACACTCAGCTAACCATTCCACCTGCAGAACCTGCAAAATTCACCAACAATATTTTAACAAAAATTCACCAACATAGAACTCATCGTATTAATCAAAATTAAATGTTAAAGACCTACATTATCTCTTCGTTGCCTCCGTAAACCTTTCTTCTCAGTCGTCACCGTAATCTGAGCAAGTTGAGTCTCCGAATTTTTCGCCGCCGGTTATCGACCTTTCTCGACATAAACATGGTAAATATTTTTCTTTTACAACTTACTAGGTTACCTTTTTTTTTCTTAATGGCAAAGTCGTTATTAAAAAGTGTGAGCAAGGGTATTATGTCTTTTGTACCTCTTTAACAAGACAGAACTTTCCAAAAAACTATGTGAGTCATTAGGACACTTTCTAAGGTTGTGTGAGTCATTATCCCATATTCTTATTCATAAGAATATACACAAGAAGAGTACAAGTCTTGCGGTGTATGTGAATGACCAAGGATCCAAAGATCCTTTTGTCGGAACCTATACCGCTATACGGTCTCTTCCTCGTGTTGTATAGTATTTCCATGAGACAGGCCACGTATTATTTTCTCACTTAAAAACATACTATAAAATAAATAAACATGTACAAGAATCAACGCCTCCAATTTGCTTTAAAAGGCTTCATCCTGTGAAAAGCTTAGATTTTTCCCTTCCACAAAAGCAGCCTTTTTCACATTATATATTTTAATAAGATACTGCCTAGTTATTTTATTATATGAATGAATTAGAGCACCATACTAGAGAAATGCATCGAGTATGGTCTCTTTTTATTTATTTCCTAGTTTACTTTTCCTAGAGTATTATAAATATTCTTATTTTAGGCTTTTATGAGTATGATTGGAAATCCATCAAAATTCTAGTGGATTTCACTGGTATCCTTCCTACTGTATCATAAATCGAGTTTAATTTTAGCAGAATGTGATGTGTGAATTGTAAAAGAAAAATTAGAATACGATCGGATAATCAGACTATACAAATGGTCTACAATGTGTTAATGTCATGGAAGACATGAGGAATCTATTATTGGCTTTTTTCAGAAGGAGAAATATCTATTAAGAAGAAAATGGAGATAAAAAGAATGGAAAAAACCGTGGAAGCATCTCAATCATTTCATGGGGGCTTTTTGTGTCTTTATGTAGCCGTTCCTTTTACGCTAAGGAAAAGATAGAGCAACTCGTGTATGCATCCAAATTTCTTTACATATTGGATATAATAATGAAGCTTTTTATTACTCTATTAGATAGACCATTGTAATTAGCAGGAGAACTAACTAGAAGAGAAGAGTCGTAATTCAGAAAATATTGGATCTTGGAGGATCCATACTCTATTATAGGATTGTATAATAACTAAGAAGTACCTTTTATGAAATAGTTTTTTTAATAGAAAATTCAAGCCTCTTCTACTATATGTAAATTGTCAATTTCCCAACGCATATTTGTGTGATATAAAAGCGTGGGGACCTCTAGCTCTCAGAAGTTGAAAAAGGGAGATGTGAAAATAATGCAAGATAATAGTTTTTATTAATTGATTTGTGGATTACATTGATTATGCTTTTTGATTCATATATAAAAAACTACCTTATAGGAAAGTCAGGAAAAAAAAACTACCAGCATGGACTAAGGTAGTGTGCGAAGTGCGATTATAATGGTCTTCATCTCTTTTGAACTACTTTATGAAAATTGTTCATCATTATGATGTTCTTGCTTTGAACCTAACTATTGTGTACTACGGTTTAAATAATCAAACAATGAAGTGGGAAAAAGAGAATATGCTTTTCGTTTTGTTGGGTTTTTAAAAGTAACTTTTTGTTGATTTTCCTCCCATACTTTCAAAAGTTTTGTATTTAAATGAAAAAGTGAATTATTTACAAGAATCCTACATGTACGAGACTAGTGGTGTTACGAGACTTAACTACTCTTACAATCTTGATAAAATATCCCGAGGAGCTTAAACTATTACAAATCATTTTTTTCCAAACTGAAGATAATTTTTGAGTGTGGGTTTTATTGGCGTCCATTACCAATTCAGTGGAATAACCAAAGGTGTTAGTAGCAAAAGAAAAAAATGGTGTTAGTAGCAATGTATAATATTACCCATTTCCATCGAGGCTTTGGGGGTGCAACCAATTTATGTCGATGAGAGCTGGTGCAAGTTAATAGGGGTGAAAGTTAATAGATACTGCAAGATTTTAAAAGTTACTATGGAACTTACTTAGAAGCTTCTTTGTCAATGAATCATATGTATTAGCAAAACTAAATAGACGCACTTCATGATGGTAGATATATGCATAACACTCTGAGATAAGTGATCCTCTACAGAAGACAACAACAACCCATAAACTAGTAAAGCTTCCCGTTCAGTATTATAAGCAGACATGGGTAATCTTACACTACAGGAAAAAATGGTATTTTTAACATCCGAAAAACGCTATCTAACCATATGATAGCGTTTTGACAAGCGCTTTATCATCGCCCGTCATTGTAGATCAGACACTTTAGATAGCGG